TTACTTGTGAAGGAATATAGTGTTATTTGAAGTGGACTTGTATTACATATACACATGTAATACATAACTTACATACATAAGTTGCATATACATATTGGAAACTCTAGGGAAATCACTCTAAAGAATGAGAAAAAAATTATAATTGATATGCTTGTATAAAGAGGAATGGAGTCATATATATAATATGTTCAATTAAAATCACAAAGGGCATAAAAAGTGGAAAACATAGGAATACAGAACAAGGGCAACAAATAGAAAATAGTAGGAAATATGATAGATACTACATCGCTTTAAATATTAATGGTCTAAATACATCAATTAAAAAATGGATTGTCACAATGGAGCATAAAACAATACCCAACTATGCATTGCCTTCAAGATACCTACTTTAAATACAAAACATATACATTAAAAGTAAAGGGACAGAGCAAGATATAACAAGCTAAAACACTAATTAAAAGGCTGGAGTAGCTATATTCATTTCAGACAGAGAAGACTTTACAGCAAGGAAACTTACTAGGATTCTCAGGGTTAATTTATAAATATAAATTCAGGCATGTTTTCAGAAGTTACTGACCATTTTTTACTTAAGTTAAAGTGAAAGTTGCTCAGTCGTTTCCAACTCTTTGCAACCCCATGGACTTAGCCTGCCAGGCTCCTCTGTCCATGGAATTATCCAGGCAAGAATACTGGAGTTGGGTAGTCTTTCCCTGCTGGTAGATTCTTTACCAGTGAGCCACCAGGGAATCCTTTCACATCTGACTCTAAATTACACTGTTAAGCTTTACCCTTTGGTTATGGTTTAGTTTATAAATCCATAACTAGTACCCTGTAGGAAGAAAACAGTACAAAAATTTTCATTTAGTGACAGGTTTCAATTTTTCCATGATAAAGCTCATTGTAAAAAATAAAACACAATAGTGACAGAAATTGACCTGGGTCTAAGTAGAGACTCTACAACTTATGCTACTGAATATGTTACTATACTTCCTGTAAGTCAACTATTTCCTCATCTATAAAGTAGTGGTAATAATAGTCCTTTTTGTATAGGACTTCTGTGAAGATAGAATAAAATGATGTATTTATAAAGTATCTGGCATATAGTGAGTTGTTATCTATAAACAAAATGTATAAGTAGATTAATTTACTATAAATCATGCAAATAACACTCCAAGCTTACTATCCTAATATTTAATAACTTTTGCTATTAGATTTATCCTTTTTAAATAGGAATTATAACAAAATTTATCATCCAAATGTGTTTATGTGAATACACATACATTCATATACCACATGGAACTTGCTGTTTGGTTAAAATAACTTTCCCATACAAAAGTTAGTCTTCAAAGCATGCTTTTTGATATTGGCCTGGTGTCATGGTGTCATTTTAATCATTTTTTTAGCCTATAAAAAGTTTCCTCTCTTCTTTCATGGACCACAGAAGCACCTGTGATGCATGCATCCACTTATTCTTCAAATATTTATTGAGCACATACTATATGGTAGGCATTATATGAGGTGCTGGAGAGTCAGCAGTAAATAACAAAAATTCTCTGCTCTTATGTTGTATATATTCTAGTGGAAGAAACAGACAAGAAATAAAAATAATTTTCAAGTAGTGATGGTACTAAAAAGAAAGTAAAACAAGGTTACCTGGTAATATACTGGGGGAGGAAGGGGGTAATTAAGTTGCATAATCAAGGTAGGCCACAGAGATGACTCTGAGCTGATATTTGAATAACAAGAAAGAAACAGGTGCACAAATAGGGTGACCAGGCAAAGGTAACACCATGTGCAACACCCCTGAGGTGGAAGTGACAGCTTTATGAATTCCTAAGTAACTTGAAGATAAGTCCACTCAATCAGTTCAATTTTCAGTAGATGAGCTTACTATTTGAAAGAACATACTTCCGACTCCTTTTTAAAGTGACAATTTCAAAATTCTCATTCAGTGGTTCCCATATCACTTCTTAAGAATTGCCTGGACAGTTTGTTAAAATATAGTTTCCTTGTCTAAAAGAGCTGAACTTGTCAAAATAGAGAGTAGAATAGTGCTTAGCAGGCTGGGGCTTGGAGGAACTGGGGAGATGATTAAGGGTACAAAATTGGTAAAAGCAAACAAGTCCTGGTGAGCTTTCCAGATAACTGTTGTATTATAAATTCAAAGTTGCTAAGAGACTGGATCTTGTTTCACAACGAAAAAAGAAATGATAGTTATGTGATATAATAGATGTACTAGATATAACACTATGGTAGTAATTCTATAGCAATGTATAAATATATCAAATCAATACCTTGTATACCTTAAACTTACACAGTGTTATATATGTCAATTATATTTTAAAAAAGTTTCCTGGGCTACATCTTCAGAGATTCTGATTCAGTAGGTTGGGTGAGGCCCACAGATTTGCATTTTAAATAAATTCACTGGTGATGCCTGCACGACTAGCCTGGGGACAACAATTTGAGAGATGCTGCTCTATAAAATCTATCTTTTAACATTTATTTGATAAAATAAAGCATGCCAATATTTTCTTTCACGTAAAAAAATTACTTCCTCTGCATGGTGACCATCTGGAATTAATTTTTGTAACTTTAGGGGAAAAGTACATAAAACATTAGAGGTAAAAATACCTTCAATGTTCCATATTAAATTGATAGCATCAGTAATAGTATGAGCTTAATTTCAATATAGCCTATTGGTGAAGGGTTAGTGTCTATTGTCAGTTGGAGAAGATTTCAAAATTTTAAAATTATATTTTAAGTTTTAAAATTGTTTTAAATTAAAAAATTTTTAAATTGAAATTTTAAATTTAAAATTTAAAAATTATATTTTAAATGCAGAAAGGAATTTAAATGATAATTAACTGAGAGGTTAAAATTTTTTTCATGGCTGGGAGATCACATCAATAGCAACTGCATGTTGCATCCTGTTAATCTGAAGAATATGAGAAGGCTGTACTTCTCATCCACTGTGCCATTTATGTGGACACTCACAGAAGAGATAGAGAAAGGAAGAGGGGTATCAGGCTAGTCAGCAAAGTCAGCTTAAACCATTCTGGTCAGCAGAATTCTGGTTGCTGCACTCACACAGCCTGCATGATACATGTCAAAGAAGCCCATGTACTCCTGCCCCTAGTAATTATTCCCAAGGAAGGGAATTTATATGCATATCATGGTCTTAGCAGCATTAGGGATAGCATAAGGATGATGATACTAAAAACAGCCAATCCCTAAGGAATGTCCCACTCCTCTAAGTGCTTTACATGATTAACTGATGTGACTCCTCCTTGCCACATATATTGAGGGAGTGAGTAACATCACTTATATATATATAGGAAAGTGAAACATAGAGTAACTCAGTAATTTAGGTTACCAGGCAGTAAGTGGAAAAGCTGGGATCCAAACATAGGCAATTTGCATCAGCCTGACCTCTTAAACAATGTACTATATAGATATTCCTCAACTTCTGATGGGGTTACACCCTGACAAACCGATTCTAAGCTGAAAATGTACTTAATACTAACCTAGTGTCAGTAATAACTGTAGCTTAGCCCAGCCTACCTGAAATGTGTTCAGAATTAGGCTCTTTAGCCTATAGTTGGGCACAATCATTTAACACAAAGCCTATTATTATAATAAAGTATTATCTCATGTAATTTATTGAATACTATTTTGAAAGTGAAAACAGAATGGCTCTGTGGTTATGTGATGGTTATAAGTGTATCAGTTTTCTACCCTGGTGATTTCATGGCTGATTGGGAGCTCTGGCTGATGTCCTGTCTAGAATCACAGGAGAGACTATAGTACCAGATCTGGTTAGTCCAGGAAAATATCAAAATTAAAAATTCAAAGTACAATTTTTATTTGATATGAATCATTTTCACATCATCTTATAGTTGAAAAATTAACTTGAACCTCTTTAGCTTAGGGACCAAATACTGCTTCATATTTGGAAAAGAATCCCCAGATCAAGTTTTCAAGATTTGTGTCTACAGTCTGAGTTAAAAATGAGGTATCTGATTCTTTTCCTTCACATCCTTTCAATTCTAATACAGGAAAAACACAATGTCTGTTTTTCAGTCTTTCTGCCTTGATCTGACAAGAAGACATTCCAAATGAGGACCAAGAAAGAAAGACTGTAATCACTGCACAGAAAAATTTTGTACATACTTCCTAGTGTGTGATTTTAGGCAACTCACCAAAATGTTCTGAACTTGTGTTAGTACCCATAAAAGGATAACAGCATTCCAATAAGACTGGGCAATTAAATGAAGACTTTGCTGATCACTGATACAGACATGAAATGCACTATTCAGGTGTTAAGATGTGTGGACACTTTATGCATAACTTAGGGGCTTTTCAAGGGTCATTTTAACTGTAGGAGTTTTGTCTTACCTCCTGTTGACATCAGAATCCTTGCTTAAGTTGCAACTCCACTGTAAGCCATTGAGAGACAGTGGATCTAGTGTCTCCAGAGGATCTCCTTAAAAATGTCTACAGTTGGACTCAAGATGGCACATCCTGACTACGGAGAGGTAAGTCTAATGGCTACACAGGTCAAACAATAATATAATGCTTACTAATAAAAGCTACAGAGGGGGAGAATGGTAATGGAGAATGGCATACATAATTCCAAAAAGAACTGTCAACTGGTCATCCAGTAGGTATTTTTTCATTTACAAAGCAACAACCTCAAATAATTTTTGTCAATCTGACACAATGGCTCATGTCAACGTCTGGTTCTGACAACAGTAAGAAATTTCTTCAAGGATTTCTGAGTACTTCATTTTAGAGATTTATATTTACTATTCAGAATAATTCCTTGCAATAATATTTAGGTATTGAAGTATTTTTAAAGTTAAAATATCATTAAAATGAATAGCATTGCATAAATATACAGATATAGGTAATCTTTGTAAATGCTTTTACTATGTAACCTAGATTCTAAAATCCAAAGAAGATAATTGGTTAAAATATAAACCTACAAGGAAGATAAATGAGTAGTGAATTGTCTTAACTTTTATTTGATTATTTTCATTTACAGTTCTGGCACTGACACTTTAAAAAAAAGATTTAATTTTATGTAAAGATTGAACTTCAATAAAATAACTTAAAAAACATTTACATATACATCATTAAATCTCCATAAAATATACAATACTTTGATACAACTATAGCTAGAATGACTTTGAAGGAAATGATACATATTCAAACTTTTAAGAGATATCTCGTCACATGTAGGAATAAATATTTATATTGGATTTGTTAAGACATGAAATTAAACACTATATGACATGCACTCTTGGAAATTAAAATATACATTTTGAAAACATATTTTAAAGCACAAAACTGTGTTTCCATTTAATCTAGATGTATATCAGAGCTTTTAAATAGAAATTTGAACAGTTTGTACAAATAAAAGATACTATAACATCAAGTGAAATATAGTCCAAAAGCTGTTAGGAACCAGTTTGGACATGTAGAACATAAATTTCTACTTTGGCGAGAGTTGAGTCTCATTTTTTAACCTTCAAATGAGATGGAATAATGGTAAATTTGCTAAAATTTTACAAAATATTTGTGGTTTTTAATTTTTAGTACTTGTAAGCTATGTTTCTTTTTCTCATTATATTGATATGATAAAATCAAATGCACAGTCTTAACTGTCTAAAATCAAAAGCTGAATATTACTGCTAAATGAAAATAGATACTTAACATTCCACAGACCAAATCACTCAAGTGTAACAAACTCTGTTTTATACATAAAAAGTAAAGACTTATGAGAATTGTATTGTTTTACACTCACAAGCAAATTATGATATAAAATTTTTTCATGTATTTCTGAACATCATTAACACTTACGAAATCTCTCTCTGATGATTACTGGCACACAAAAATCTCCTTCTCTAAGAGATGATCTTTAAGAGAGTTGGGAGCAGTTAGCTGTTGGCATTTTAAAATGATTGCTATTTCTAGAAAATAGCAGCAATATTGCTCACCCGGAAGGACTGAAGATACTGAAATTGATACGCTGCTACAACCTGGATCACTTCATCAAATTAGGTTAACATTATTGTACATGAGGCTAAGAAAACAGAAAGCAACAGAAAACAGGATGCTAAAATTAATCCAGAGAACAATTCTGAGTCTTTTAATAGGCAGAAGCCACACATAAGTTGTACAATTTATCCAAAACTCAATACATTTTGGTATAAAGTACATATTATGAATTCTCTGCCTCTGGCATGGTATGTCATTTTTTATTTGTAGTTACTGAAAATGTCTGAATGTGGCAACTTAAAACTGACACAACAACTGTATAAATGTTAGTTGCTAGGTGCTTAGTGTAATTTGCGATTTCATAACTAGGAGAATAGTAAAATAATTATAATAAAACACGTTATTAATTTTATTATTCTTAATTACTGATGAAAGAAAGTCAAAAGAATGCTCCCACCTCTCTTACTGTATTACAGCATTTATAAAATATATTAGTGTCATTAAGCTAATGAGACTAGTGAGATTTTCTTAGATGCCATGAAGAAAATTTTCTAGAATACCCTTCCTCCAAGATCTATGGATTATTATAATGCATTTCAATTCTACTTTCTGATATAAAGGCAAAAGGATAAGTTATCAACATATTTTTCTCTGTTAATTCTTCCTCTGGATAACTGATTTTGAAATTATAGTAAACAGTTTCTAAATTCTCTACTTTAGCAGATTTTCCATTTTAGAGTGAATAACTTAAGAAACAATATTAAGACTCTTACACACTAAAATGGTTCAGTGGTAAAATAAAAATATGAAAAGTACTTGATCACATTACTCTCAGCATTTTCCATCTGGGAACTAACTACTGCATATTACTGGTGATAAAATTTCAAGTGGAAATAATACCTTTTAATCTAATTTTAGTTTAGATCTTTTATATATACATTAAAATCATGTTTTGGGTAATTATTGACTAAGGTGCAACAATCAAAATTATCAGGAATTTTACATTTAAGAAAAATATTAATACCTAATCTCTAAAATCTATCTGATTTTAACATTCGGCCCTATGTGTTCAGATGCAAATGAAATGTTATACTCTCTTAAGTCTAGTGCATATCTTACCAGCCATCCAGCTAGGCCTCAGTAGAGGCTATGACCATCTTCCCTATATTTTCCTAAATCACAATATACTTCTATTAATTTTATAGCATGTTTATAAGGGAACATATTTCAGCTAAAAGTGTGATGCTTAATGTGTTTTAATATGATAGATCAAATCATAGCATATATAAATTTTCCTATAAAATATATATTTGATGATATTTCAAATGGAATGTTTTCAAGTTGACAGTGGTAGCCAAAGATGCTGATAACTTAGAAGGTGCATAATATTAAAAAACCTTCAAATTCAAATACTTAATTTTTAATATACTATAAATGTTCACTGAATCTAAAAAAAATACCCTAATTTTATAAGGTTCCTTTTCAAGTAGTTGTCATTAAAAAATTATAAATAATTCTTATACTGTGTCTCTCTGTCTTGTACTTCAAAGATATGGAATATTATTTTTATCACTATATAAATAACAAGTAGTCCTTTATAGAAGGAATTGAGAATAGAAGACAAGAACTGTGGCTATTTTTCCCTGTTATTATGTGCATTTATGGATATAAAGTTGAAAACACCATTTACTTATGCCAGGGAGAACAGGCCATGTTCTGCTATAAAGAGCCCAGTTGCTCCTTTAATAAAGTTACTGTGCATTCAGCTCAGCTGCGTATAAGCATATAGTTAAGGCCATGTACACAATAAACAGAAGAATTGTGGGAATTAGTTAGATAAATCAGGAAAACAAATTTCTAAAGAGATCACTTTATGGGTTTAAATACTTTTTCTCCACATTATATTCTGATTTTATCATACAATAGTTCATTTTCCATTTCATTTTACCTGTGTGAAATATTATACAAATAAGAAATTTCTTATGGGATAAGAAATATCAATAGAATAATAACTTTCTGTGTTAAAGCACATCTGCTTTTCTGGGGAAAATCAAAATTAATATCCCCTTAGAAATCAATTGTCAGAGCACCTAATTCAAGGAAAAAAGCTCTCAAAAATATATACATTTTTAATTACGTGAAATGATCAAAGGGAGAAAACTCTTTTTTGGTGGAAGGATTTTTAGCTTTAGAGAATGGAACTCTTTGGCTACATTCTCAGCTGTCATAATTGTCATAATGTTCTTATGACATTCTTAAAGCCAGACTTTGAGAGAGACCAAACCATCTTGGAGACTGGCAGAAATATACTGAATTTGGAGTCACTCTTTCACTTCAAAGAATAATTTAATAGATGTTTAGAGACATGTTAAAATGTATCAAATGTTTGCACTCTTAACTGACCTCAGAAGACTCATTCATATTTTCACTGGAACTAAGTACTCTGTGAGTGATTTTGTACGTACTATGTAGTTCTTAATATATGAGCAAAAATTGGAATTCACTGAAGAATGAGCATAGAAACCAATGAATACTTTGAAAAAATACTGCAGAAATATAGTAAGTCAACATTTCTTAAAGACACATATGAGAACCATTAATCTGTTCCAATGGAAAATCCCAGTTTTTAGACAAGAAGGAAAAAAATCCAAGTCAAGCATGAGAAAAAGGATACACTCAAAGACAAATCTATGTATCTATTTTTAAGAGAATGTCAGAGAAAATGTGCAAAATAAAAACCAGTTTATACTCTTAGAATTAAAAAGAAAAAAAAAAGACAAGTATCATTACGTAATAAAATGTGACAATTCCCCTAAGAAGAGTTAATAAAAAGTTAAGAAAAATAGAAGTCTCACTGCTTAATTAAACAAACATAAATAACAGCAAGGTTATTTCTGCTGCTGATTTTCTTCCTTCCTTTCTTGTTTCAGAAATTATTTGATTAAAAGAGGGGGGAAAATAGTCTGCTAGAAGCTATTTATGTAACACAAATGAAGGCACAAATAGTAGGAATCCAGAGTTGATGAGTGAAGTTGTGAATACAGGGGATTTTGGCTTGAACAAAAACTGACCCTGAAATACAGTTGAAGATCTAGTGCTATTTTGTGTTTACAGCTGCACACTTAAGTGACTAACTCAGGGTTAAAAATCTTTAAGGTCCATAAAAATCTTTTCTTTCTTTCTAGCAATAAAATATACTTATCAAAACTTGCTAGCTAATCTGTGCAAATGTATACTTCTCAACTGATGCAAAAAATATGTAGGAAAATAAACCTTAAAAGACCTGCTTTTTATAATGTTCCAAAGATTCTGTACAGAGTCAGCTGCTGAAGAATTTTCAAGATTTGAATTGGAGAGAGAAATGAAAATGTAGAATACAAAGGATAGCTGTGCCCTTGTAGGAGACACTTTTGAATTTGTTGAAAACTTAAATGGAATTTTTTTCTAATAGCTGATCACAGATAAGTGCCTCATCCTTAGGAAAAATTAGGGCCAACAGACCATGCTTTGACAGAAAATACCTTTGGACCATATTTTAGCATCCTTTGTCATAAGTATATCATACATATATGATTTGGCTGGATTAGCACTGACTCAACTGCCACTAATAATTATATATAGTCTTAGGAAAAAAGGATATCACTGAATTCACTGGGTACAATATTCATTTCAAACTATCTCAGGAAGGAATTACACACATTTGTTCAATAATTATTAGTTTAAAATCTCCGTAAATTTTTTTACATCTCTGTGTGTGAAAAAAATGTCACTGTGATGGTATCTTCCTTGGAATCAAATATTCTAGGATATGAAGTTGTTCAAACTAGACTGTGGAAAGAACCAGATTAAAAGCAGGGCAGTGAGGTCACCAATTGCTGTTCTTCTCTCCCAAGTTTCTTTAAATGACTGAATATATAAGCAGCTGATAATTATTCCACATCAGAAGCATCGTTGTCAGAAAGATGGTAGTTACTTCCCTTTACCCGAATATATTCAATATATCTCCCTTCATCAGAATCTGAAGCACCACATGTACATAGCCTGTTGTCGAAGAGTGATTCAATTTCCTCTAATTTTTTCCCTTTGGTCTCAGGAAGACAGCCGTAGATGAAAAGGAGACCCACCGAAGCGAATCCAGCATAAAGGAAGAAGGCTCCTGCAATGAAAAATACTATATATGTAAAGCTTTACATTGGAAAGGGGACTTAATTTTAACTTCTGTTTCTGGTCAATAATGCATGACTGTGGTCTGAAATGGACCAAAAATTTGCTTCTAGCTTGGTTTATTTCATTTCCTCTAATTGTTTTAAACATGTGAATATAATAGTTTGTTTTTCTAGACTCAAGTTATGTAATACCAAACTCAAGAAGAATGATAGCCCAGGCTCAGGATAACTTCTGCTTTGAAGTCTTTCCTCACTTCCCTGGTTAGGGTTGTGCTTTCACAACACTTTGCTGAGGCAAAGTGGTTTATAACAACAAAGTAGCATTATAATTATGTGAATATATTTGTGTTAGCCACTAGACTGGAGGCACTTTCAGGAAGAAATTTTCTTCTCATTTATCTTGAGTGTAGTGTTTCCAGAACCACATTCAGTGATGACACTGCTGATTTCTTGAATCAAAGCTCAAAGTCTAGGAGTCAACAGAATTTTCTCTTACTCTCCCACCCAATATCCACTCTTAGAAAATCCTGTTGGATCTACCTTCACATACAATCCAAAGATGACCATTTTTTGCCATTTCTGGACATCTCTGGTTTAAAAGCCTTCCTCTTTACCTGCAGTACTCTTAAGAGTCTCCTAACTAGTGTCCCATTCCTTCTCTGAGGCTCCTACAGTCCATTTTTTGTGTGTGTGTCCATAGCACTTGGGGCTTCTCAGCGGTAAAGCATCCTCCTGCCAATGGAGGAGAAGCAAGATGTGGGTTCAATCCCTGGGTCAGGAAGATTCTCTGGAGGAGGAAATGACCCATTGCTAAAGTATTCTTGCCAGGAAAATTCCATGGACAGAGGAACCTGGTGGGCTACATTCTAACTCAATGAAACTAGGTACCATGCTGTATAGGGCCACCCAAGATGAATGGGTCATGGTGGAGAGTTCTGACAAAACATGGTCCACTGGAGAAGGGAACTGCAAACCACTTCAGCAGTCTTGCCTTAGAGAACCCCATGAACAGCATGAAAAGGCCAAAGGTATGACAAAGAAAGATGAACCTCCCAGCTCAGTAGGTGTCCACTATGCTACTGGAGAAAACTGAGAAATAGCTCCAGAAGAAATAAAGAGGCTGAACCAAAGGGGAAACAACACCCAGTTGTGGATGTGTCAGGTGGTGAAAGTAAATTCTGATGCTGTAAACAGCAATGTTGCATAGGAACCTGGAATGTTAGGTCCGTGAATCAAGGCAAATTGGAAGTGGAGAAACAGCAGATGGCAAGAGTAAACATTGACATTTTAGGAATCAGTGAACTAAAATGGACAGAAATGGGTGGATTTATTTCAGATGACCATGACATCTACTACTGAGGGCAAGAATCCTTTAGAAGAAATGGAGTAGCCCTCATAGTCAACAAAAGAGTCCAAAATACAGTACTTGGGTGCAATCTCAAAATGACAAAATGATCACAGTTCCTTTCCAAGGCAAACCATTCAATATCACATTAATCCAAGTCTATGCCCCAACCACTAATGCTGAAGGAGCTGAAGTTGAATGGTTCTGTGTAGATATACAAGACCTTCTAGGACTAACACCTTCTTGATGAAGGTGAAAGAGGAGAGTGAAAAAGCTAGCTTAAAACTTAACATTCAAAAAACTAAGATCATGGCATCTGGTCCCATCACTTCATGGCAAATAGATGGGGAAACAATGGAAACAGTGATAGACTTTATTTTCTTGGGCTCCAAAATCACTGCAGGTGGTGACTGAAGTGATGAAATTAAAACATGCTTGCTCCTTGGAAGAAAAGCTATGACAAACCTAGACAGCATATTAAAAAGCAGAGACACTAATTTGTTGACAAAGCTCCGTCTAGTCAAAGCTATGGTTTTTCCAGTAGTCATGTATGGATGTGAGAGTTGGACCATAAAGAAGGCTGAGTGCCAAAGAATTGATGCTTTTGAACTGTGGTGCTGGAGAAACTCTTGAGATCAATCCTAAAGTCAATTAACCCTGAATATTCACTGGAAGGACTAATGCTGAAGCTGTAACTCCAATGGTTTGACAACCTGATGCAAAGAGCTGACTCATTAGAAAAGACCCTGATGCTGGGAAAGATTGAAGGCAGGAGGAGAAGGGACAGAGGATGAGATGGTTGGATGGCATCACCTACTCAATGGGCATGAGTTTGAACATGCTCTGGGAGTTGGTGATGAACAGGGAAGCCTGGCGTGCTGCAGTCCACGGGGTCACCAAGAGTCAGACATGACTGAGCAACTGAACAACAAAAACAACATGTGCCTTCTAGATAGTCATTTAACCTCCTCCTTGGACCTCAGTTTCCTCTTTACGTAAAATAAGATGATTTCTCAGTTCCTATTAAAATCTATGGTTTAAACTGTAATTCTGTAAGTTTTACAACCCAGTAGGACTAGGTATAGGAGAGGTGGTAATGGTATGCTTGAGGAGGAGACCAGCAAAAGTGGTCTCCTCAAGGCCAGAGTCTATGGCTTGTCTCTGGGTTCCTAGTACAGTGCTGATTCATTGGAGAGTTTCAGTTCAGTTCAGTCACTCAGTCGTGTCTGACTAAGCATCTTTTAATTTCATGGCTGCAATCACCATCTGCAGTGATTTTGGAGCCCCCAAAAATAAAGTCTGACAGTGTTTCCACTGTTTCCCCATCTATTTCCCATGAAGTGATGGGACCAAACGCCATGATTGGAGAGTTTAGAGAATGAATATTCTCTTGCTGACTGCCAGATGGAATACACTGGGTAGCAGATTTGAAATAAAGGCCTAAATAAGACAACATGACTATATATTTAAAAGTCAAGCTTGAAGATGAAAAGTACAGCAGTTTAAGAACTGAAAAATATTTCACAGTTCGTTGTCATTACAGAATGTGGAAAGATATTATTAAAACTACTTTCTTACAGACAGGCCTAGAAGTAACCATTTCAGTACTATCCATAGGAACACTTCTTGGGAAGACTGAAGTAAAACTACAGAAGAAAACTGCTGCTGAACTGGCTACCCCAAAGAATCTGCTCCATTGAATGAGCAGCCACGAGAAAATAAAAGTGAAACAGAGCTAAACTATGACATATAAAACATATATATAAAAGGACTGACTAAATCAAGACATAGTTTGTTAGCTTAAATCATCAGAAGCTATATAATTCTTAAGGAGCTGGATGTATAAATCAAATTTTTTCTTTAATAAAAATAAAATTTCATTTACAAATTCAAGGCTCCTTTATTTCATTTCAGTTTGGTCTACATTATAATACAAGTTTATATATTTTTATATCATACTTGATAAAAAATAATAATAGGTCATCTGGCATGCATATCTGAGAGTTACAGTGAGAGGAAGGCTCTGTAGACACTGTGGGTCTGAAAGTCAAAAAGTTATACAGGCTGAATCCTTGTGCAGTTTCTTGAATTGTCTTGATTTTAGTTTCCTGATCTGACAGGGAAAATCAATCCTCCCTTGCTAAGGGATAGAAAAGAATAGAAAGAATTTTGGATGTTAGTTGCCCAAAAAAGTGATAGACATGATTAAAAATCATTGTAAATGACTAGGGAAAAATAATGTGTAGTAAGATCAGCATGACTAATAAATCAAGAATGTTTTCATCTAAGGGGTGCTATGACAAGCTGGCTCTTGGAGGATGTGGAATTTTGAGGAAAAAAAATGATAGAAGGTGAAGTCTTGAATTCTAAATACAGATAAGCAAAATTGTGCAGGTAAGAAAACAATAGGTGCAGATGATAAAACATTTTAGACTAAACTGGGATGCTAAACTCTGAAATATCTAATGGAGTAAATATAGTCTGGCTTTATAAAATATAATATTGAGAAAATACTCATCATCTTTCACAATTTAAGTACAATGGCATGATTGGAAGTAACAAGTCAAATCTCTTCATACTAAACTCCTACAGTTAAAAGCAAATTAGATGGATTACTGACATTCTTAAAGGCCATACAGTTTCTTGTGTGTGTGAACCAGATTTCCAAAGCTAAATAACATAAAGGAAATTCTATTAAAAAACAAGATACTTCTATAAAAATCTGAATAATCTAAAGATGGCAAATGCTACAACTGTGTATGTAGGCTTCACTGGTGCGACCAGTGGTTAAGTCAACAGAAGTGTAGGCAGGCCTGGGAGGCTGTGACCTGCTTCATGAAATGGGCAAATCAATTATGTAACTCATTTTCTTAATTATGCCCCTTTAGGATGAAAATGAAAAAAATGTCTGTAGCAAATCTGTTAGGATTGTTAGTGCAATTTTATTCTAAAGGAAATAAATCTTATTAGACTCCTTATATTAAGTTTCAGATTAAAACAGATATTTAACTGAATTATACAAAATTAAGAATTAAAGATTCAACACAGACACTTTGATAATGCTCACCAAGGGATCTATTTAGTCACATGTGCTATAAATAAAGTGACATACTGGTGACATTTTAATGATAATTTTTAGTAATAAACATTACTGAATGGGGCCCAGACCCTTTTAGGCAGTATAGTTTAGGAAGGAATCAAGACTTGAGGTCTTATGAAACAATAAAAAAGGAAGTAAAAGAAGACATGAATATTTCCAGAGAAATACATCATTATGGTGCCTATTTTTTTATCAGGAATATAAACATAAAAGTTATATCAATCAGTAACCTCTAGGTTAAACTATTGATCAATAAATAGGAAAAAATCTAACCTGAGCTAAGATACTGTTTCACTAGTGAAAACCTAATGGGCAGTGTGCCGACAAGAAAGAAGTCTGGCTTAATGTGAAACAAAAAGCTTATTCTACTGAGATATTTTTGAAAGAAGCCTGGATATGCCCTATTTAAATTTTACTTCCGTGGCCTCATATTTTCCTGAGAGAACTGATTCAAGAAGAGGAGATTTGCTATCAAAAGTCTTACCATGTAGACTTTTACTATTTGGTCTATGACTTTCCATTAAAAAATGCTTTCTCAAGAAATG